TGTTAAGAAAATGTCACTCTTCTGATTCCTTTTGATCTGCATAATACTCGTGAGCGCACATTTTTTACTTTTGTTTTTTTATTTGCTTTACAAAAGGCTGAAATGCTGCTTTTGTTAAATGTACACTTTCGTAACTATGTTTCACTTAAGAATTACCAAGAGAACCCATATTCATCTTCTGACTGAACTGAATTAGTTTGTCAAGTTGTCAGAACACAAACCGATAAGTAAAAAAATAAAAAAAGAAGGTCCAACTGTTTTTTTCCAATGCTTAGAAATGATAGTCAGATGCTTCAGTATAAGGATTTGACAAGAATTTCTTTAGAACAAAATATTGAGGAAGTTGTATTCAAAAACTATCTGACACTTTAAACAATGTATACAATAGTAGACTCTTGACTGTAAAAATTCTTATTTTTCCATTTGTTTATTTTTTTTATCGTACATAGAAACTGAAAGGACCAGTACCTTTCTCCATAGAAATGATACATTTTAGAGATGCAAACCTTTATTTTGGACTGTTTGGAATTATTCTTAAACTTATTTTTTATTGACTGGCTTAAATATTAGTACTAGACAACAAAATAGCATTTTAAATAATAGAAGATTCCACAAATCGGGGGGGGGAGGGATCGGGCGACAGCGTGAGGTGGATGTGGCTGGCCAGGAATCTAAATGCTCACCATTTGAGCGAGCTCAAAGGGCATTGAGTTTGATTTTGTTTTAAGCTTGAAAAGAATGTAACATTTCTTGAAATATTTGCTTGGAGAACTTGTATACTGCTTCCAGCAACATGCAGAAACAGAGGCAAAGAGATCCTGCACCTTTACCCCCACAATCTAGCCAGACTCCTGAGAAGGCCCTCGCTGGCCACATCGGGTCCAAATTGCTTGATACCACTGGAGACCCTTTCTACCCTCCCACCTCAGCCAAAGCTTATTAAATCCACTTCGACATGAGCCGCAAGCACAGGAAGAATATTGGCTGCGAGCGAGCAACATGCTGAGATGCAGGGGGTTGTAGTCTTGATGCTCCTTGTGTCCAGCTGTCCCGCAAGTTCCACATGTGCAGACAGACTCGCTGAACCGTGGGTGGATACAGAACATAGGCATGCGCAGCCTATTACATTAGGGTGTGCACCCTGAAGCACAAACAGAGTGCGGGTAGTGTGCTATGTAGGTGAGGGTGTTTGTGTGTGTGTTAGGGTGCTGTTAGTGTGCTGAGTGTGAGAGTGCTGTTAGTGTGCTGTGTGTGAGAGTGCTGTTTGTGTGTGAGGGTGCTGTTTGAGTGCTGTGTGTGAGGGTTCTGGTAGTGTGCTGTGTGTGTGTGAGGGTTTGTGTGTGTATGTTTGTTAGGGTCCTGTTAGTTTGCTGTGTGAAGGTGCTGTGTGTGTGATGGTGCTGCTTGTGTGATGTGTGAGGGTGCTGTGTTTGTGAGAGTACTGTTTGTGTGCTGTGTGTGGGTGTCGTGTGTATGTAAGTGTGCTGTTAGTGTGCTGTGTGTAAGGGTGCTCTTTGTGTGTGAGTGTGCTGTTTGTGTGCTGTTTGTGTGAGGGTGCTGTGTGTGTGTGTGTGTGTTTGTTTGTTTGTGAGGGTGCTGTTAGTGTGCTGTGTGTGAGGGTGCTGTGTGTTTGTAAGGGTGCTGTGTGTGTGTGGGTGCTGTTTGTGTGCTGTATGTGTGTGGGTGCTGTGTGTGTGTGTGCTGTTTGTGTTAGGGTGCTGTTTGTGTGCTGTGTGTGTGAGGGTGCTGTATGTGTGTGTTGTATGTTTGGAGGGATTGTGGGGGTGGAGGTTGGGGCAGATTAGTAAATACCCCCCCTCCCTTCTTACCTTATGTAGGGAGGGGGATCCTTGCTGCCATTTGCCATCCCTGGTGACCCAGTGAAGAGTGAACTCTCACGAGAGGAACCCGGCGAAGCTGCTGGCTAAAGCTCCCTGGGTCCTCTCCTGCCTCCCTCCATGCTCCTGTGGGCCGGTGAAAGGAGATCTTTGATCTCCCCACCGGCCCATGGAGGCTTAGAGCAGAGCAGGCGCTCAGAAAGCGCCGGCTCTGCATAAGCCAACAGGGGAGATCCTGAGATCTCCCCTGCCGGTATCAATCCATAGGCATGCCCCGGGGATTAGGGTGTGCCCAGGCACACCCGGCACACCACATGCGCATGCCTATGATACAGAAGTATCCTCTAAGAAATGAAAAGAACAGGGGTGCCCGTTTTCTCTGAATCACCGATGATATCAATAATCCCTGAAAGTGTACAGGGTATCACAAGACAGTGGCCGGCCCTCGCGATGCTCATTGCCGCAGGGAGCCGTGCCTTAGCTGAAATTAACCCACAGGATATAAAAAACATTCTTGGGGGACCCCCAGGTTCCCCAGCAACAATGGAGCAAATCTGGTAAATGCTGCAAGCCTGCAAATCATCAGGCAAAATCTGAGAGAAGATATTAAAGAAGACTTCAAAGAAGACTTTTCTCAATTGAAACACTCTGTTGCAGATTTATAACACAGAGCTGACTCTGTAAATGTAACATTGTTGCAACATGAAGCACAGATCAAGGACTTAACAGAGCAATTAAAATCTATGAAGATTCAGCTGCAGTGCGCAAATAAAAAGATGACAGACATGGAAGATAGAAGCAGGAGGAATAATTTGAGAATTCGGGGCATTCCAGACACAATACAACCCAATGAGCTGGAAGATTAGTTGAGGTCAGTTAGACCACAACTTACTGACACAGACCTACGTGTTGACCGCATACACAGATTTTCAAAACCTGCTTCTGATCCCAAGGACGCTCCCAGAGACACAATTGCGAGACTTAATTTCTTCAAGGTTAAGGAAGATTCTTAGCAGCTAATTTTTTAGGAAGGTTCATTCTGCCCTTCCAACGTTCATTTGGAATAGGAAACCGAGCTGAATCAAATTAGCCATTTTGCAAAAGCCAGGATTGGTGGAGGTATGGGTTTGCCAGACTTTATTCAATACTTCCAAGCCACTAACGCTGCTGCTGCCTTTAAATTTAATCTTGACTTTGAATGCCCATAATGGCTAGAGATGGAGGCGGCTAAGATTTCCCCAAACCTTATCAAGGAGCTGTTGTGGCTGCCTTCACCTCAAAGACCACGCATAGCCAATATGTTTCCATCTACAAAAACTACAATTAAAGCTTGAAATAATATTTTTAAGAAAATTACACCCTCATCATTATGGTCTAGAGCAGGGGTAGGCAACCTACGGCACTAGTGCCATGCACGGCACTCGAGGTGTCTTTGCACGGCACTCAAGGCTGCTAGAGCCAAACAGGCTCTGGCCTATCAGGAGTCCCAGTAAAACTTCAGATATCTGCTAATACGAAGAGGTGGTGAAGGACAATCCTCAATTTATGCATTGCAGCACGTAGAGGAAGTGATCTCAGAGCACTTCATTCCAGCACTTGTGAATGGGAATCCACACAGTATTAGAGCAGCTCGCAGTTGTTGTTGCAGCTCCTGTCCTTGACCTGTACCTGGCCAACATGGTCCCCACTGGAACCCAGGGAAGCCACCCACACTGCTAGATATACACAGAAATGCAGAAAGACCCTCCCCTCATACAAATAATACGGACAGCCCACACACAAACATACACACAATCCGCACAAACGCAACACCACTAACAATCCACATACATGCACACAACCCCACATGCAGCCTCTCACATGCAATACCCCAAACAGCCCCCACATATACACACACTACTAAACACACAATGTGACATATCTATCCACACACACAATTCCACAAGCTGCACCCATACACAGCCCACATTCATATGTATCATACACGATACCACAAACTACTCCTGAACATATACAATATAATAGCTCATATACGCACAAATACAATGATACAAAGCAATTACAGTATAAATAACACAAGCAGAATACGGCAGCATACACACCTCAATTTAAAAAATCTTTTTTTTTTTTAAATAGGACCGGCACGCTACGGGACATCACAATTCCATATCGGCACAGTGCTGCTAAAAGGTTGCCTACCCCTGGTCTAGAGCAACGACTATATCAGTGTTAAAGTTAGATATTCCCGATATTGATGTGGATTACTGGTCATCTCATTCTATCAAACACATTTACCATTTATTTGTTTCCTATTCCCTTCTTTCTTTTCCTCAACTGAAAACTAGATATGACTTATATAGCTTAGATAGATGATGAAATAATGCATGAAAGAATGGTTGATTCTATAATGGATAGATGTGGCCTTTACGTACAGGATCCGATTAATTGTAAATTGGATATGTCTCAATTTGAAAAAATATATTTTTTGGATCCTGCTCAGAAACAGATGATTTCTGTTTGCTATAATTTGTTGACTGGAATGTCAAATTAAAAGATTGAATTGATGATCAAGTCGGAAAGGGAATTGGTAAAGAATTTGAGCTTACTGAATGGTTAGAGTTTGCGTTGAAGGGTATCACGCAATGTATATCACATTTGGAATCTTACTACAAGATTTTACATAGATGGTACCTCACTCCCTCCAGGCCTTTTAAGCTACAATTAACACATACCAATAAGTGTTGGAGGGAGTGTGGCCAGACAGGTTCCTTATGCCATACATTCTGGGCATGCCCAAAACCGCAATCTTATTGGGACTCTATTCACCTTTTAATTAAAACTATTGATTATTCAATAATAACTTTAACTCCTGAACTTTGCCTGTTTAAGAGACTTCCTGAATATTTATCAAAATATAAACAGATTTTATTAAAGGACACGGAGGCTCTTATTAGGCTTTCCTCTTTCTTTATTCCTCAGCAGCAAAGAAAGCTAAGGTGTTTATTTGTAGAAAAAAAGGAAAAGAAACATGTATAACTACCCTCACAGGGTTAACATTACATCATTATCTCCTATCCAATAGGAGCAGTCCTTCTCTGATATCCTTTCCTGTAACCTCCTCCTCTTCCTCTTTCTTTGCTGCTGCCTCAGCTAAGTAACACCTTGTTTTTTCTCTTAACTGTCATTTGTACTTATATATGTGTGTATGACTTTATTTTAAATTATGCCTGTTTTGTGACCTGACTTAAACTCAGCAGAACGCATTGTGCGTTTGGTGTACACCCCCCCTTCCAGCTAACCCTCCGTGGGGGGGCCCCTTTCCCACATTGTCCCGCCGGTACCCCGCCCCCCCCCGCGGGGATACCGGCTCCACACTTGCCGCTGGGTAGTTTATTACCCCCCTCATCGGTCACGCGGCGCAGGGAACCCTCGAGGACCGGACCGGCTCTCTCTCCCGGCGGAGGGTTCCCCCGCCGCGGCCTCTCGTTCGTGAGCGCCGCGCGCGCATGCGCGGCCCGTACTGGCGCCCATCTTAAAGGGGCGGCACTAGAAAAAATTTTGCCGCTCTTTTTTCTCCCTCAGCTCGTTCAGCCCACTGCAGGGCGCGAGCTGATTGGTTTGTTTGCTGTACTGTTAGCTTGCCAGTGATCCCAGGAGCCATTCCTGAGGGAACACTCGGTAAGCTAACAGTACATTCTGTGCTTGTTGTCCTGCTGCCTTAATCCTGTCTTTTAAACCCATGATGCAGACCCCTGAGGTTTTTTCTGCCCCTGGCACCAGTGATAAAGGTGATACTAAGGCCCAGCACGGGCCCTCCGTGGCTGAACCCATATCCCTGCATAGGGACATGGTGGCCCCTCTGGAGCAATTGGACTCTGAGGAGTTCCACTCGCTCCTGGACGCCACCATGTCAAAATCAGTTACCCAAGCTATCTTTAACGCCATGGGGGTTATGTCGGATAACTTGTCACACTCTATTTCGAGTGCCATTAAGGCGTCTAACCCCAGCATGACTCAAGCCAGGGCCGCAGAGGGGGAACCTTTAAGCAGAGAGGGCCGTAAGGCCATGAGTAAAACCCACAAGGTGGGAACACATGCCTCCAAAACTAGACTGACGGACAGGGTACGTCCTGTCGCACCTGAGGTCGTGGGGCCCCCACGAAAACGAGCCACCCGCCGGGCAAAAGCGGCGCGGACATGGAAGAGGGCAAAAGCCCTGTCAGATTCTTCCGACACTGATTCGGATAGTGAGGAGGTTTTGAACGGGTCGGACCAAGCCGACTCAGAGGAATGGGAGTTTTCCTCCCCGGACCAGAGTCCGACACGCACTCCAGCCAACCCCGTGCATGACACGGCGGATGAAACCACTATTCTGGACCCTCAGGGCGAACCTCTGTTCGACCCAGACACCTTACAAAACCCGAGGTCGGCGGAGTGGTATCCAACCGATCATGTAGCACGATACATAGCGGCCAGAATCCGCAAACCTTTGGATAAGGCCACCAGGCAGAAACTACGGGCTGAATGCCCACGCCCGACTGTGCCTGACATGGCCTGTGCTACACCTGATATCGACCCCAAAATAGCACAGTTCTTGGGTAAGTCTGGCTGGAAGGCGAAGAAGGGACTTGATTACTCCCTACGCCACTGCCAAGATAAAGTGCTGGATACATTGGGCCCTAGTGCCAAGATTTTTGAATTGGTCGAAGCGGCCTTAAATGAGGGAACGCCTCTTGATTTACTAGCCATTAGAGGCTGGGCCCAACGGTCGATCTGCCTCATCGGCAACGCTAACGCTGCACTGGCCACAGAAAGGCGCAAAACTATTTTAATGAAAATCGAGCCCAAGCTAATTAACATGGCTCTCACCGAACCGGGACCGCAAGCCAAGGGTCTCCTGTTCGGTGACAACTTTGTCAAAGAATTGGGAACGTATGTGAGCACCTTTACGGCCCTAGACAAGGCACAGACAAATATAAAAAGAGTGTTCTCTCCCAGAGTTTTTGGTGGGGCCGGCAGACACCGGGGCCGTCTGCCCGGCCGTTCTTCCCGCGGTTCCTACCGGGGATACAGAGGTCCCGCCACGGCTAGATTCCAGCCGCCAGAGAGCCGTACGCCCTCACCCTTCTTCCCGGTCAGGGCCAGACCATGGCAACCTCGAGGACCCAGAGGCAACTCGTACAGCCGCCGACCTTATGGTAAGTGTATTACCTCCCCCCCTCCCGGGTGTACCGACTGTGGGGGGCAGACTGTTACACTTTGTAGAGTCCTGGCAACAGCTGACTGCGGACGTATGGGTCCTCAACACCATCAGGGGTTACCACATAGAGTTTGTGCGGACCCCGGTCCAAACACACAGACCACACCGCATAGTTTTCTCCACGCAAGACAAGGGCTTGGTGAGCGAGGAGATTCGCACCCTCCAAACGAAGGGCGCCATATACCAGGTCCCTTCACCATCCCCTGGGTTCATGAGCAATCTGTTTCTGGTACCCAAGAAGGGCGGCGCGGTACGCCCAGTCATCAACTTGCGGCCACTAAACGCATTTGTGCGGTACCACCATTTCAAAATGGAGGGTATCCACTGCCTGCGAGACCTGCTCAGGTTAGGGGACTGGATGGTGAAGCTGGACCTCCAAGATGCATATCTTACAATCCCCATTGCGGAAGAGTGCCACCACCTGCTCCAATTCCAATGGGAAGCGACAATGTGGCGATTCCGCTGCCTTCCCTTTGGTCTCTCATCGGCCCCTTGGTGTTTCACCAAGCTGCTGAAGCCTGTGGTCGCCTTTCTACGCAGCAGAGGCGTCCGGATGATCATTTATCTGGACGATATGCTGATCATGGCGCACGAAGCCCGTCAATTACAACAGCACCTGACATGGGCAGTGACACTGCTACAGAATCTAGGATTTCTCATCAACTGGGAGAAATCGGTGCTTACCCCGTCCCAGAACATGGAATTCTTGGGTTTTCACATAGATGCGACTACCGGTACGCTCAGCTTACCAACGGACAAAGTAAAACTCATCAAAAAGGAGATCCGCAGAACACTCAAGAGGCCGGTACTGACACTCCGGCAACTAGCCAGAGTAATCGGACTCCTCTCAGCCTCCATTCAGGCAATATTCCCGGGGCCACTACACTACAGGGCCCTACAGCGTCTAAAGGCCACACAATTACGCTCAGGGCATGCGTACTCCGACTCTGTACCACTCGACTACGAAGCCAAACACGAACTCACATGGTGGCTGCTACACATGGAGGCGTGGAACGGCAGAGCAATATTCGTGTCTGCCCCGGACTTCATCGTAGAGTCCGATGCGAGCACGCACGGTTGGGGAGCGCGCTGCGTGCCTACCTCCACCGGAGGAACCTGGTCATGCGCAGAGAAAAAAATTACACATCAACGGTTTGGAACTCAATGCGGGATCTTTCGCACTGAAGAGCCTCCTCGGGGGCATAACCAATTGCTCCATCGTCCTACGCATGGACAACATTTCCGCAGTCCGCTACATCAACCACCTCGGTGGCACGAGATACTGGCGGACCTGGCCAAGGAGTTCTGGCAACACTGCCTGGAACACAACATCTCGGTCCAAGCGGAATACATCCCGGGTATGTCCAACGTGGTAGCGGATTGGCATTCCAGACACATACAAGACGCCAGCGACTGGCGGCTGGACCGCGAGGTGTTCTTACAGCTTCAAGCGCTCTGGGGCCCGATGCAAATCGATCTGTTCGCATCCCGGCTGAACTCACAACTGCCAACGTTCTTCAGTTGGAGACCAGACCCAGACGCACTAGCAGCGGACGCTTTTTCTCCAACACTGGCCGAACAGCCGATTATATGCCTTCCCTCCGTTCTCCCTCATAGCTCGCACGATAGTACATCTCAGACGTACTCAAGCGACCCTGGTCCTCATAACTCCGTTTTGGACAACCCAACCGTGGTTCCCGACCCTAATGGAAATGTCCATGGACTTCCCGAGACGACTTCCGGACCCCTGGTTCCTTTTATCAGACCCAGAGGGCAACCCACATCCCCTCATGACCCAGGGGCGTCTCAAATTCTTAGCGTGGCTCCTTTCAGGGGACCCTGGAGCATACCGGACGTTCCACAGGACACTGTCGAACTACTGGCGGGAGCCTGGGCACCTGGAACTAGACGCTCCTACCTCTATGCCTGGAACGGATGGGCTAGTTGGTGCATGGAACAACAAATGGATCCCGTACGTGCTCCTGTAAGTTATCTGTTGAGGTTCCTCACCAACCTACATAATCAAGGATTGGCCTACCGGACCATCAACGTCTATAGATCAGCAATCTCGGCAGGGCACCAAGGTATAGAGGGAACCCCGATGGGTCAACAACTTCTGGTATGCCGTCTCCTGAGGGGAATTCGTTTTGCCCGCCCACCACAACCCCGATACTCGTCATTGTGGGACGTCAACTCAGTGCTGACGCTGTTAGAGTCCTGGCCTCAAAACGAGGCACTTACGCTCAAACAACTGTCAGCGAAGCTCACCATGCTCCTCTGCCTGCTATCTTGCAAGAGGGTGTCAGACGTTAGAGCACTGGACGTTGATGCACGCTCCTTTACTCCCACAGGAGTCTCGTTCAACATCTCCAGGCGTACAAAATCGTCAATTACATCAGTCTCATACCCTTCGTTCCCACACAACGAGAAGCTCTGTCCAGTACACTGCCTACGAGAATATGAGAAACGAACCTCGGAATTCAGGAAATCAACACATCCGGAATTGTTTCTGGCCATCAGACAACCACATCAACCTGTCTCCTCGGTAACCCTCGCCCGCTGGGTGAAATGGATAATGACGTTAGCTCACATAGATACCTCCGTATATGGCGCACACTCTACTAGAGGAGCCATGGCATCCAAAGCGTTCACGCTAGGTTGTAGATTAGAAGACCTCATGAGAACGGCAGACTGGTCCAGGGAATCGACGTTTAAAGAATATTACTTTCGGCAAACAGAGCACGTGTCGAGCCTGGTTATTTCACAGCTTTGAACTAGCCTAATAAGAGCCTCCGTGTCCTTTAATAAAATTACCAGATTTTACTAATTACATGACGTAAAGTCATGATTTTATAAAGGACACGGAGGCGAGTATTAGCCCACCCGGAACAGATACACAAGTTGTGTATCCCAACCCAGGTACGTACTAAGTATTTTGGTAGAAAGAGTTCACTTTTTTCCTTCTTCACGTAAGTGGTTCTTGGTAATACATAACGTGGTTGACTATGACAGATTTGGTTAAACATAACGGTTTCATAAACAGCTCAAGTTTGATACATAAGAGTAAAACGACAATAGTTGGCAAGGACACGCTTTACCACTATTTTCTTTGTTTTTACAGCGTGAACAATCCTACAACTCCTAGGATGGACGACGAGTTCGAGTTCAAGGGGATCAGTTCTGGAGGTCTCCAGCGTTTATTCCCCATGGAGCAGTTCACGGTCAAGTTCAATGTTCAACTGTTTTTTCTGTTTAGGTTATGTTCGACCGAGTGGATAGTTACTTGGTACAAACACGAACTTTAACTTCGGCAACATCAAGAAAGAGGAAGAGGAGGAGGTTACAGGAAAGGATATCAGAGAAGGACTGCTCCTATTGGATAGGAGATAATGATGTAATGTTAACCCTGTGAGGGTAGTTATACATGTTTCTTTTCCTTTTTTCTACAAATAAACACCTTAGCTTTCTTTGCTGCTGAGGAATAAAGAAAGAGGAAAGCCTAATACTCGCCTCCGTGTCCTTTATAAAATCATGACTTTACGTCATGTAATTAGTAAAATCTGGTAATTATATTAGGATATCTTCTGATCGCAGCTACCATGGCTCTTCCACGACATTGGAAATCACCTGTTGTTCCAGAAATTAAAGAAGTTCTCAATATAGTGTTCAATAATACGAGATCTGAAATCACACTTAGACCACCATCTGATACACGCAATCTTCTACGGTATGAATTAGATATTTGGGAAAAAGATGTCAGACAAAAATATAACTTAAATATGTCACCCCAACTGACCAGGTATAGAAATTTAAGATGTCATATCCAGTCTATGACATTCAAAGTTAAAATAAGAAAACATTCTTATTTTACTGCTATATTTCCATTTAACAGATAAATGTACCATATCATTATACATCAGTTTGGTTTTTTTTTTGTATGTTTCATTTTTTAATATGCTTCATTTTTTAATTGAACATTCTATTATAACATTTTTTATAAATGTTCAATAAAAACTATTTGATGGAAAATTCCACAAATCTTTTTTTTTTTTTTTACTGGAAAGAAAAAGGAAAAATAGGATAGAAAGATTTAAGATAAGAATAGAAAGAGAATAGTGAGAGGGTCGAGTCTTACTATGCCAATGAGTTATAGAGTCCATATCGGAATATTTCCAAAGAAGGAAAATAAGTATCATATTGCACAAAAACATGTAAAGTAGCAATAGGAGTATGTTCTTTATCATTTGAAGAACATAGGTGATGACAAGTCAAATTCTATTCATCAATCCTAACTCAGTATTGTGTCTAAATATTTCCTAACACTGGGCAATCCAGTCCTAACCCTGACCCTAATTTGCATCCCTAAAACCACATCCCTAATCCTAACCCTAGAACTGATCCTTGATCTGAAAACTAAACACTAATACAGATGTCCAACCATAAAACACATGCTTAACCTAGACCGTTATTCTAACTCTAAACCAGATTCTGTAACTACATCACTCCCTTCCCCCAACACAAAAAAATGTACCCCATCATACAATAACTGCAGCAATAGGATAGCACATGATACAGAAGTGCCAAATTAAAGTGCAAATTTTTTCTTCCCATCACATATACATTTCATCATGTTGCCATGGCAGTTTCTCTTAAAAATGAAAATAAAGTAAGTAAAAAATATATAAAAATTAAATTATATGTGCATTAATGTGACCATTGTTGTATTTTTGATTTGTCATTTTACGCGGTAGAGAAGAGATAAAAAGCACACTGCAACGTGAAAAAAAATAGTCATACATATGCCAAAAAAATTAAACATTATAAATATTTGCTATTTTTAATTTAGTTTTCTTTATTTCTGGAGTTGAAGCGTTATTCTCTCAATGAATGACCATTACTCTAGAATAGCACACATCAACCTCCTGAATAGTTCTCTAGAAATGAATAATCTATTAGAACTGGATTTACGAGTATTATAATTATTAGCATATCTTGTATGTTTAGTTATCTAGTGATTACGATTATTCTGCACATGAGAAAAACAAAATATACCAAGCATTTTCTTTCAGAGCGGCTGCAGATTGTTACTTATACACACACTTTTCTATAGCAGCTTATGAAACCCTGCTGGTGGCACATGAATGCCTACTGACTTTATCTTTTTAAACTAATGACATGTGAGATAGCATTTAGCAAACAGAATCTCATAAAGACACAACTGTGCGCCACAATTGGACAGATCCTGCTTCAAGCATTAATAATCATGTCACTAAAAGGAAATCTTTTGGAATTTGTCCTGTTTCCATGTGTGTCAGAAACCATTCCTAAAAGTTCTCTACTGATTCTTTTGTTATTCGTGTGAACAAGTTAATGGAATTGATTAATTTTATCTTTTAAAACAAAATTTTATTGTTTATTGATGTCTTGTTTTTTTTTTTACTAATTAGCTTAATGTGTGTATGTTAGATATTGAAACAGAGTAATAATATTAATAATTGTAAATAGATATATACTGCTATTGTGAATCCCAGTAACACTGCTACCAAAAGTGATGGTTGGTTCTTGGAGCGCTGTTTGAAATGTATCCATTGTACAACTGCCCCTAGATTTAGCTTCAGAAAAACATCTACAATCCATAAATGAATTTCCAGCAGCAAAATGTTGTTGCTTCTTTGTTTTTTTGTTTTTTTAGTTTACAAAAGCTTTGAATATTAATTACAGAGTTATAAGTGCAGCCATAGGAGAGTATTGTTCTTCTAAAAGGTACTCTGGTTTTTCACAGCTGTGTGGGTTCGGGCAGGGCTGCCATCAGAAATTTTGGTGCCTCTGACACAGCTCAAGTTCTGGGCCTCTGGGGACCACCCTCGAGTCCGCACACAGGGCCTGCCCCCGAGTCTATCCAGAAGGATGAAGAGTGTGTGTACTGAATGTGGTGTGTGTATAGTGGATATAGAATATGTAAAATGGATGAGGTGTGTGTGTCATGGATGCAGAGTGTATTGTGGATGCACATTGTATATGTACTTAATGTATGTAGTGTGTGTTTAAGGATGTAGTGTGTGTGTTTAGCTAATGCAGTGTATGTGTGTGTGTGTGTGTGTGTGTGTGTGTGTGTAAGGATGTAGTGTGTGTTTAGTTAATTCAGAGTGTGTGTGTAAGGATGTAGTGTGTGTTTAGTTAATGCAGAGAGTGTGTGTGTGTGTGTGTGTATGTTTGCGTGTGTGTGTGTGTGTGTGTTTGTGTGTGTGTAAAATGTAGTGGGGGTTCATACTGTGGGGGGGAGGAGCATTGTTTCCCATTAATTGTAATACATTGTATTCATTCCCCCCTCCCTGCATCTTACCTGTGGCCAGAGAGGGGGGAAGAGGTCACATACCCTGGTGGTCTGGTGGCATGCTGCGGGCACCAGCTACCTGTACACTGCAGGGGAGCCCAGCACAATCCATCCTCACTTCCCAGCTTCCCATCTTTCATGTAAATCCATACCCCGTAATAGCAGTGTCCAAAGAAACAGGATTTCAGTGGGCGTGGTAAAAGGGTGGGCCACTGATGTGAATCACGCAACACAAGCCGCCCAAAGGGACAAACATGCCCAAAAAGTTGGCGTGTTTGCGTGAAGAATTAGATAGTCAGCCTGGCGTGAATGCACATCAGGCTGCCTGCCAAGCATGCAGGATGACCAACCAAGGGCATACAGTGCAGACAGCACCCTGAGCTTGGCATAATGCATCTAATGATGCACTAGCTCTACGCTTTCTAAGCTTTCACTGGTCCACTCTTCTCCCAACCTTCTTACTAGTAGGCAGAAGCTCTTCTTATACAATCTGGGATAGAGAAAAGGTGGATGTAGTGAGTGTAGAAGGAAGGGAACATGCCACAGTGTTAGAGAGACTGAAGCAGCAAGAGCATTTGCATAGTGCACAAAGTCAGCTTTACCTTAACTAATTTCATTGTCAGTCCACACCAGTCCACACCAGTTTTGTTCCCCTACATCCCTGTTAACCCCTTAACGACGAGTGACGGACAAGGTCTGTCACTCAGGGGATTGTCATAACGACGAGTGAAATCCCAGACACATTATATATTCTGTAAATCAGAACAACTAAATGAATTTATTTTTAATTACTTTCCTTAACCTACACTAATTATGCACACATTATTATTGAAAAAACTGTAAACAAAAAACACAAAAATTTTAAATTTGTTTGCATTATTCTGTATTTTTTTTATAATAAATAAGCATTTATATATATATGTGTGTCACATCAAATTAAAGCCCTTTCTGTCCTTTAAAAAACGATATATAATATGTGTCAGTGCAATAAATTAGTAAAATGCAAATTGCAGTTGAACGCAAACAGCAACAAATGAAAAAAATGCTGTTGTCATTAAGTGAAAGACAAGCTTCTGAAGCTCTGTCCTTAAGGGGTTAAGTTTCCATATGTAAGCAAGAGCATGTGTAGAGTAGTAAAAAACTTTTCTTTTCTTTTTTTTTTAAATCAATGGTCCTGGAGCTGCAGCTCCCTAAGCCCTTATTTTAATCCGACCCTGGTAATGTTGTTATTCAGTGCAAACATAGTCCTCAAATGCAAAATACAATTGCAATATAATTTGCATAACCAACTTATGAAAATATAGCAATTACCTTTATGTGATGCAGACATCACATGTTTCACAACTTCTTAATGGCAAAGTGAAATCTTAAAGGGATACTCTATGCACCAAAACAGTTTTAGTCAATTAAGCAGTTGTGGTGTATAGGTAATAACCTTGAATTTCCACTGCTCCATAAGACAAAATAAATAAATAAAATCATTTTTACATCATCGTTTGTTCAATTTAGATGTTCTGATTTAATTACACACAGGAGGCTGCTGCAAACTCTAGCTTAAAAAAAAAAAAACCCTATAAAAAATTAGGCCTCTTTTTCAGGAAGTGTGGCTAGGGCTCTGTTAAAAATAATTGAGCATTGAAACTGCAAGGGCATGATCTATTAAACAATTCCACTTCATTAAGATCAAGTTGTATTGGTGCTAAAAGTGTCTCTTTAACTATGAATACATGAAATATGTGCATTTCCAGTCTGTCTGTCTGCCTGTCTGATCTTTTGTTCAATAAATACACAAAAATACTCTGCTCTCATGGATATCAAATAATTGAGAACACAACACATTTGTATACAAACAAAAAATCCTTTTTTTAAAATATATGTGTGGTATAATTATTGGCTCCCCTATGAATACATATAAAAAATATATATTTGAAGTTTATTTCCTTCCTTATAGGAAATTGTTCAACCATGACTTCTTGTTTCACAGGAGTAAAAATATAAAGTAAGGGGGCGAGGCCTGGCTGCAGAGCTGAGAGGAAGCAAACCTCAGTAGCTCCTACTGCAGATAGCACTTTTTCATT